GCGTTATATAGTTTACACTCACATCACATCTGATTACAAGTGTGAACATTAAAATACTATTTTTTACCTAACCATCATCATTTATGAGTCGGTAAAAGGCTTATGATAGGCTACCTGACTAGCGTCTTCTTCATCTGTTGTCTTTCTCTTCTTAGAGAAGTATCTGAACAAGCTCATCTGAAAATGCAGTCAGCAGTTAATACATAATGACGTGTAGATATTAGCTTAATGCTATCAATTAGTTTACCCAAGTTAGCGTCACTGAGTCTACCTTTTCTCCGGTAATTCGCTTCCTTATTCCTCACGACTACACTTCTCTGACTCTGACCTGGTACCTGACGTGATGTCACTTTCAAGGCCGCGCTCTCGCGAGTAATTAACTCCAATAGGATCCCCCCACCACCCCACTCCCTCCCTCCCTCCCCTCTCTTCCCCTCCTCCCGCTGTTGCGCTCATCATCACACAGGCTGTGCTGTGAAGGTGGAGAGATGTGGCGGTGGTGCATTTGCGACAATAAAAAAAACAAAAAAACAAATAAATAAAAAAATAAAAAGAAATTTGAAGGCGTGGCGGCTATGATTTAGCAGTGGTGGGCCGCCACTGCTAAATGAATGTAGAGGAAACACTGGTGTCTATGTGTGCCTACATATGTGCGCTAAAGGGAGACATTCCTTTCACCCATACTGGGGCAAAACAGCAGACGTGAAGTTACACTCAAGGGGGCAACATACAGTACAATCAGCGTGTGCTTTCAAATCTATGAAACGCACTGATCAGTTGTAATCAGATTAAACCCGTTTCTCCCGCTGCTTTGAAATTAATTGTATGTTTAAGATAATAAAACTATGAAAAACAACACAAAGGTTGTAACAAAGGCTTATATATTAAGAGGTTTTCCTTGTGGCACTGAATACAGTTTATCTCTGCATTTCTGTGTCTCCCACTTACATGCAGTGAGAGGGACCACCCCGAGCCATGCGAAGGCCACCAATGTGTAATGGAACCAGTAGCGGATTGCCGTGCCCACACTGGTCAGCAGGCCGGCACAAATGTCTTGTATGGGCAGACGTGAGGGCATGTCTGGGGAGTAGACTGAAGGGTAGAAAGGAAAAGAGTGAACCCGAGACATTCAATACATTTTTTCTGTGTGATCATTTTCTGTTTACAACACTGGAAGTTATTTACATTATTCAAAATTTTGTATTAACGAAGAAATGATTCTCAATAAATGAAACGGTCACTGTAAAATATAAAAAAGAACCAACTGGCCCCATGTGTGAGGCTAGTTTGGGAAACTAATATGATTAATATGATTCATCAATGACGTCACAAACTTACTTGGTGTAAAAGCAAATCTGTGCTTGCACAATTCACAGTACTCCTTCCTGCTGTGCTTCAGCCACTGGACCAAACTGTAAAGCAACATTTATAGTGTGAAAAGAACCATACATGCGCTAACAGAACATTTTTATGTTCTAATCACAGACATTTTTCAAGCTGACAACCAGTTTCTCACACAGACAGACTCAACACACTCAAGTGGTTTGTAATTTTGTGGGTATACATTTAGGAAGACATATTCCAAAAATTTACATCAATAGCAATGGGAACCCACTGGTTAATTCAAATTAGACACTTTATATAGCTACTTGTGGTGAATGTGGTGAATGTGAATGTGTTTATGTGTGTGTAGTTACATTTGAAAATTCTGAGATGTAGACAAAGACTATGACTATAGTGTTCACCTAACATGATCTTTTTCATTGCTGTCACACCACTGCTATGATTAACTACACAAGGATATGATGTGATTAGGATGTAAGCTCAGCTCTTAAGACCTCTCCAGGACCTCTGCACCCAACAGACACCGACTATGAGCATTTATCATTTCTCAGTCTGACTCTCTGATTACAACTAACAAAGTAGGGTGTATCAGCTATTTCTGAGCTGATGTGTGCTTGTATGTTGCCCATAATAATACCATCCCAGCTTGTTGTGACATAGGCTAGACTGTGGGATTAACAAGTGGGTTATGTAAGGGAGTCACTAACCAAGCTGAGTCCAACACATACAACAGCTTTCTCGTTAGACCTACACAGACCAAGGTTATACCTCAAGTTTCAATTCAACTTTGCTTACATCAGTCAACCTTCCAACTATGCTCCTTAAATAAAAAATGATAAGCTTTATTGCTGTACCATAACTATGCAAACATAGGTGATCCATTACAGATCACGGCTATTCCTTTGTGGTTCAATTAAGGAAAAGTTGTATCAAGATCAGCAACAGTCGGGCTATCTAAGGGGAATTGGCCCTATGATGCTCAAGTACAACTGAAAATCAAGACACACTGTAACACACATATCTCTATATGACTGTGAAGGCATTTAAAAACTGTGACGTTGAATGACTGGTGAAGATAGAGCCTTGTTTTGCTCACAGAAAGACAAGGTCTTCTTAAGATGAGTCCCACATGGGTTCAAGTCAAACTGTCACAATACATATTGGGCACCCAGCTGTGAGAAGTTTTCCCCCTGCTATTTGAAGGAGTGCAACTGTGCGGTGTGAGTCCTGTCCACATTTAGTTTGATACATCTCTGACTGTGGCACTCTGGGTAATAAAATTTCAGCATCACGCATCTCCTACCTCAGAACTGCTAAAATAAGCATAGCTACGTTTAACATTCCATACACTGAGCACTACAATCTAGACACAATAGGCTGTTATTCTAAACTTTGTGGGGGTGGCAGCGAACTAATATGAATACGGACTGAGGTTCAACAGTTACCGCAGAACAATCCAGGCCTGGCCTTTGCTTCTGCCTGGGGATTTCCATCCACCTGACCCTCTTACAACCAGTGATGCTCACACACACCTGACAGATGAGAACACAGCACAATCTCCAAAGTACCTGCGGGTGCTGGTATTGTTTTCACTATCCTAATACCACACCTACGGCCAGTAAACTGGGATGCTATGTAACCTGGATGTGATAGAGGACAAACCTGTTCTGCATCCTTTTCAAGGTTCTTCTGTTTCTTTTATCATCAAGCCATCACTCTAGGAATAATCTTTGTGCACAACCTGTACTCCAAATTATTATTAGAATTTGTTAAGAACCACCTTGAAATTTCAAAATGTGCGGTCACAGTTAAAAAAAAGAGGATTCCTGTTTCCAGATTATCTTGGATTATCAAATCAAGTGAAAGTACAAGTGCAATATACTGTTTACTTTAATCAGTACTACTTAGGGGAAACTTCCATGTAAAAACTATCCTGCTTTTTTAGACCATAAGATTAAAAATAACCTAGCTAACAATTTTTTTCTTAAAGACTTTGTGTTCATGTGCATAGAGCCAAGATAGGAATAACCCTGATGGAAAAAAATGTTGGAAAAAGGTTTCGGAGAAGATATGAGAGAGGCTACTGTGAACTAGGGTTTTGGAGTAACTAATACAACAAGTTAACACAATGTCCAATCTTAGCCTAGTTACTCACATTAATGTGAAAGGTCTTTTCTGTGTAAATGTTTAATAAAAGGGGAAAGCGGGACTCTGGAAAACGGAATCCTGCAAAGTCAAAATAATGACAGCTGTCAAAGGGGAAGAGACACCCAAACACACTTACCATTCCTGGTGGATAAACTTGATACTGCCAGTGCAGACACAGGGGTGGTACAAGGGTTTGTCTGGGGTCCCCTCAGAGCGGCACACGCGACAAATATCCGCTTCACACACAAACACACACATACACACAATGTGAGTGAGTATTTGACAATCATTGACAAAGCCAAGCAAAACAGAGATGTGCAGACAGAATTGGGGGACTGGGGTGTGTTATTTGACAGGTGTCTTTTGGATGGAGGAATGTTATTTTGACACATATAGTCGCTGATGCTAGACACTTAAGGTAAACAAGGTACACAAATCTAAGTGAGTTACACATGAAACTTCGCTGATCTATATGCCCATACATCAGGAGACTGATGACATCACCAGTAACTTCTGGTTCTTTCTACGCTCTCTACTACATTGCTGCTTCACAGTGTGCTCTAACATTGAGCTCAGTTGCATTAAAACCGCGTTTAACGGTCTTCTTCCGTCTTCCTGATTTAACCCCGTATTACATTGACAGGATATCAAGCTATGCTATTCTGCTAAATTAACCACTAGCAGGCCAGGCTTGGGTCTCTCTGATGCACGGACGAAGCTAACGCTAGTTAACCCCAGCTGGGCAGCAACTACAACAGACTTCCTCGGGTATTTACCTTCTTCGGCAGTATCCATGTTGTTCGCTAAGCACCAATCACCGTTTCTTCCAGGAATACCTTGTTCAGTGAACCCATCCACGACACAGACAATATCGTTTAGCTAGCTAAATTAAGCTAGCGAGACGAGTGTATCCTTATGTGTCGGATGCATTGACAATCATAAAATGGTTTCCCCACAGACTGACCACTAGTACTTGCTTCGTCGTGTCCTCTTACATCAAGCCTGTGTTCGCCGCTATACAAAAGGTTTTATTTTTACGGTGTATTTTTTAAACGTAAAACAATAAACTTCAGGAACCTCACATCCTCTTTGAAATGACAGTTTAAACCTGGGAGACAAATGGCTAGCTAAGCTCGCTAACGCATGCGCTAACGTCACTGCTAGCTCCTGTCATAACAATTTCACTTTACCACATCGGTTCAAGTTTTACGGCAGGTAAACTTCCACAACAACCGTCACGTGGTTAGTGAAGGGCAAGCTATAACTTCTTTATATCTTTGAATACTAAAGCACCAGAGGCTTGTTAAACAGTTAAAAACTTGACCTGTTTCTAATCCGGAGAAAATGCTCTTCATTTCTTCGCTTTTCCTTAGTGACATTTCTAGAAACTGAGTATATCATGAATACCATGGATAACAAATATCCGTCAGTCCGTATTAACAGCGACATCTGCAGGATTTTACTTGAACCAACAACTTTTTATATAACATTTGACATGTTTGAACCTGTGATCATTAGCCCAGAGAAGAAGTGGACAAAAGTTGGACTTAGTGGGGCCCATCTTGTAAGAACTCTCTTTCTTTGTTTGGATGTTTATTTAAAGATAAAAATAAAAATAAAAATCAACGATTCTTAAGTTGACAATCCTCAATTTGGAACATTACAGCCACACAACTGTTTGTTTATTTCTCTTTGATAATTAAATTGTTGTTGCTATGTGCTACTTTATTTTTTACTATCAATGAATTCTCCTTTTTTACTTTACCATCCTCTCTTAACCCTGTTTATTACTCATTTAAACTCATGAAATCGTCCGTATGTAGCCTAATGTTTTTAGTGAAACAATTTGGTGAGCCTATTCGCTGCTTTTTGTTTAAATGTGTTAACCCGCGCACTATAGGCTGCTGTTACATGTTTCATGAAAAAGAAACAAAAGCTTGCTATCAAACAACTGGGGATATTTTGATATAACACTGTAGGTAGCAACAGGGACAATGCCAAAAAAAAGACTTATGATGAGTCTAGATAGGAAATCTGAAGTATACACATTGATCATGGCATTAACAATAATAATCTTACTGAGCGCAACGTGCATCGGGGCATGAATTGCTACTGCCCTACCAATCTCGACCATCAGCGGCGCCGTGGCTTAGTTGGTTAAAGCGCCTGTCTAGTAAACAGGAGATCCTGGGTTCGAATCCCAGCGGTGCCTTTTGAGAAGTTCGTCGTAGGGTAAGCCTCGATGGACAGACATTATCACCCTACTCCAGTCACTTAAAAAAAACAGTTACCTTTGCTGATCAGTGACACAACATTTCAGTCAGGCCAGGCAGAAATTCTGAATTGTTGTGGCAGCAGGAGTGCAATGTAACCCCCCCCACACACACACATACACACACACACACACACACACACACACACACACACACACACACACACACAGAGCGAAGACAAATATCCAATGTAGAAGGTTATTCAAAAGATGAAAATTAAAATATCACTTTACACAGTAACACACACACTGTTATGTCAGACCGGTCTTGCTCATAAACAGTGTAAGGCTGTCTTAAGGTCAAAACGTCCACTCTGTCACTTTACTGTCTGTCTACCCTGTTAGGTATATTAATTTTAATTTTAAATTTATTTATTTAAGATTAAAAATATAATAATATCCCTAAGATAATAATAATAATACCCTGAAAAAGAAAGAGATGGAGGACAGACAGACAGACAGACAGACAGACAGACAGGCAGGCAGGCAGGCAGGCAGGAAGAATTCATTTGCTGAAGTTGGTGAAAAAAAGGCCCTGAGGAAGAAACGGAGAGATTCAATAAGAGAGCTTAAGCAAGATTACAGCTACACTCTCCACCCGTAAACCCAGGCAGTGAACCAATTCCAGGGGTCTTGAGGTAAAGTATGGTGATGTTAGGCTATTCCCAATTTGATTTTGTAATAGATTTTGTATTGCAAATGCACTACTATTAACTGTTATATTATTTACCATTCAATCCTCAAATGTGTACCTACATCAAAACCTGAAACCAAGATGATAAGAGGATCACCATAACTGTCAAAAAGGAGATGGCAGGCACTGAGATGGAATTACAAAATCAAATTCATGATTGCCTCTTCAGGTTCTGAATATTCAACATTAGATAGCAAAATGAACATATGCTTTACTGACTATTATTATCAGCTATGACATGGTATTTGAAAAACACAGCAATTACGTTTTTTTTAAATGTAGTTTGGGAAGTACTTGCAGCTTTTATTTTGAAGGCCATGGCTGGAATTTCATTCTTTGTCTTTTCTACTTGACGTAATGTTTACAGTCACCGATTTGTGACCTGCTGCAAGCCTGCAACCTTTTGAGTCGCACAGAACACTCCAGGTTGTGTCGTGTCATCAGAAAACAACACGGTATGTCTGTGATCTGTGCAAACTGATTTTCAAATACACATCCAATGTTAGAATTCTTTGTTAGCTGCTAAGAAGAGAGAGTGGAAAAGGTTATGGAGCAATCTGTGCAAAATGCTTAGTCATTGTGTTGCGCAAAGTCTTTTGTACTCATAAACAAGTGACTTCCAGTTCTGTACACGGGTCAGAAAAAATTTACTCTGTATCCAAATCCATCCCTGCTACTTCCACTTTCCACTTCCTTGCTGAATTTCTGTCGGTCTGCTTGTCTGTCAGCAGATGGCGAATGAAGCCAAGCCATGCCCCTGTGATATTGGCGATCGGATGGAGTACGGAGGACTCGGGCAAGAGGTTCAACTAGAGCATACTAAAGCATATGTAGTCAAGCCATCCACTGCATCTGACAAGGCCATTATTGTCATACAAGACATTTATGGGTGGCAGCTTCCCAACACCAGATACATGGCTGACATGCTGGCTGCCAATGGATACATGTATGTAAAGATTAATGTCACTGAAAGTACAGTGTGTGTGCTCCTAAAAGCAAGTTAAGGACATATATAGACTATATGATTAGATTAGTTATAGGATTTTTTTCTGGGTGAATACCTGTTTATTCCAGAAGCTTGTAAATCTGCTGGCCCTGTGTGATCTGTAACAGTGATTATTCTGCCACTGTTTTGCTCTGAGTAGTGCTGTTTGTCCAGACTTCTATGTTGGAAAGGAGCCGTGGAGTCCATCACATGACTGGTCCAAATTTCAGGAGTGGCTTGAAGACAAAAAGCCAACCAACATAAACAAGTAAGTCAGCATTTTTGCCTATATCTGCAAGTGGCCGTGAGTGGGTGAATGAGTGAGTGATGAAGTTTCACCATTGGTCAATCGGCTGAGTATTGGACTTTTCCCATTGGCATTTGCTCCCTCAAAATTTGGTGCGCCGATTTTTAGTGCGAACAGTTTCAAGTATGTCAGGGGTTGTTCACAGCAGACTACATATATGTAAAAATGTGTATATGTATGTGCATGTGTGTGTATATATATGTATGTATATATATGTATATATATGTGTGTATGTATGTATATATATATTCTTTTCATTTTTTGTACATATATAGTAGGATCTGCTGTTAACACCCCCTGACAATGTACTTGATACTGTATATATATATATATATATATATTGTATATGTGTGTGTGTGTGTGTATGTGTATACACACACATAAATATTGAAGTTTATATATGTATTTTTGGCATGCTACTGAAAGGATGTTATTCTAGCATGTTACATTAGCTTTTAAGATTTTGTTTTGTTGTGTATCACATCCCCCATGTGTCCGCATGAGGGAAGGATAAGGTCAGCCAGTCCAACTATGTACTGGGTTTATACCTGGTCTTGTTTCACTTAATTTAGCAGCTGATGTCCCAGGTGAAAGTTGAAACCTTTTAGGTCATTAAGTGGAGCAATTGTCGATATGATGTGGATTTCTGAATGGCTTCCTCATTTCAGGATTGCGGTAACATTCATTCATGAGCCATTATTCCCTCTCTGCATTTGAATGTTGACCATAATAATATGTTCTCCCCAGAGAGGTGGATGTAGTGCTGAGGTTCCTGAAGGAGCAGTGTGGGGCCAAACACATCGGAGCAGTGGGCTTCTGCTGGGGAGGGGTTGCCACACATTACCTGGCCCTGCAGTATGCAGAGGTCAAAGCTGGAGTGTCAGTCTATGGTATGTCACTGCTGCATGGTAGCTAACTCACTGTGTGTAGAGGCAAGAGAGCATGCAGTGCGTAGTTCCTGTGCAGTGGTTTTATGAAGGGCTTGTTTGATGCTGTGCAGGGATCATCCGCGAGAGGGAGGACAGGTATGAGCTGAAGAGTCCCACGCTGTTCATTTTTGGGGAGAAAGATGAGGTTATCCCACTGGACCAGGTTAGTGAACATAAACTCTGAGGTTTTTATGCATATTTCACAGATCGATAGGATGTATAACCTGCCTATCACCTCACCATGGTACTTCAAGTGGTGTCCTAGCAGCAACATACGTACATATACCTCTAATATGTTAAAATACACCAGTAAATAAATATTTTGCAGATATTAATTTCAAAATACCATTATCTCTTCCATGTAACCACCAACAATCTGAGCTTACATCCTTTTGTTCTTCAGGTGAGTGCCCTTGAAGCAAAGCTGAAGGAAAAATGCACAGTGGACTACCAAGTGAAGATCTTTCCTGGTCAGACTCATGGGTTTGTCCACCGCAAGAGAGAGGACATCAATCCCACAGACAAACCCAGCATCCAGATGTCCAGAACAGACATGCTCAACTGGCTCAACAAGTACATGTAGATGAGAAGGTCAGAGCCAGCACATTGGAGTCAGTTGTATGTGGCATTGTGCTAGCAACTGGTGCCATTTAATCATATCTCTACACATGCTGGACCAACTGTGAGTCAGGATGAAAACCTGAAAAAGGCCAAATGTAAAATGCAGAGGTGCTATTCAGAGCGAGCTGGTAATAATAATAATTATAAATAATAATTATTGTAATATAATTACAGTAAGAAATAATTAATACATAATTTTCATGTTTTTTTGTCATTGCAGACATTTCTCAGATCTTTTATTTTCTTATTCTGGAAGATGTCTTCATCTTTGGATACTAAGGAACTGTGATTTTAATCTTAATGATTCTTGAGCCATATATGTAATATAAAGGACATTTGCTTTGTGTATGCAGCTGTGTGGATGCAGTATACTGTCTTGTTAATGTAAGATTGCAAGCAATTATCTGTTGAATATAATAAGATTACTTACTATGCCTTAGCTTGCCAAATCTTTGTTTTATAAGATATAAAATGTAAACCTAACATGGAATACACGAATAAAAATGAAGTATTATCAGTTTTAACATTGAAATATCACAACTACAGAGTGGAAATTTCAACAGACCAACATTTTAATGGTGACTTTTGATACCATAACAGCTTGAACATTTTGTATCAAATGATAAATAGCAATATGCAGTGCGGTTTGGACATGGTGCTCGGGGAAGTGCCTAAAATCTCTAGAACAGCAGACACATTTTTAAAGTGTTCTAGAGCACAACCGAGCCTTATGGTGTTCAGGAGCGCTCTAGTCCTCGCTCTCTCCCTGGCTTCGGATGTCGTCAATCTTTAGGATCATCTTGACTACCTGAGTAGCCAGCAAGATCTGCTGCTTCTTGCCGATCAGGGTCTCGATCACATGTTGCTGCTTCATGTCTGTGCAGGAGCAAACAAAACAAGCGATTCAGTCCGTCATGTTATCTTGCTTTGACATGAAAGTCCAGTGTCCCAATTGTCTGACTGAAAGTGAGCTAATCCACCAGACTGGACTCTGTAGTGTTCAGTTAGAATAAAAAGGTACATAATTTGAGATAATCGCGATCCTTACCATTGGTGTTGTTTTGCAGACAGTCGATGCCTAGGAAGGGGTTGTTCTCTCTGACCTGTCTGGCTCTGACCTCTGTCATGTTCTGGATAGGGTTCAGCCCACTGTTCTCAGCCAACGCCATTGGGATTACCTCTAGAGCATCAGCAAACGACCTCATGGCGTACTGCTCCAATGATGGGCACTGAAAAGGAAAGGAACAGAAGTTAAAGATCATCATCATATTTATTTTAATGGTAAGAGCAAATACTCATACAGTCATGATTTCTTTAATATTGTGTTTTACTCACTTTATCTGCAGCCTGGTTGACTGCGAGGGCACATGCAATCTCTGAAGCTCCTCCTCCGTACACAACACGGTTGTCTCTGACCAGATTGCGAATCACACACAGAGCATCATGGAGAGCACGCTTGGCCTCTTCAATGATCTATTCAGGAGATAGATGAAAATAAAAAGTGAACCAACAGGGATATGGCAACATAAATGGAATATTTTACAGAGTTCAAAGTTAGATCTGTGCTTACCATTTTGTTGCCACCGCGGATGAAAATCGTTACAGCCCTGGTGTTTTTGCACTCCTGGATAACCAGCATGTGGTCCTTTGTTGTACCAAAGGAGATCTCCTTCACCAAACCAGCTGTGCCAAGCTTCTCTGGTGTGAGCTCACAGAACCTTGGGACAATGCGGCCTCCTGTGGCAATGGCGATCAGCTGTGGAGGAACACAATAGGCACTGTACACTTAGAAAATGCACTACGTGCTTTCCGCTAATCTGCATAAAATAGATGACTGATTGAGGCACTGAAGCAAGTGAAAATATTTAATTAAGATTATAGTTCTGTTATGTGACAAATGTCTCTCACCTCAATCTCAGGCCCTCCGACCCAGCGAATGGCCGGCAGCTCATTCTGCAGCAGGAGGTGGTTGGCTTCATCATCAAAGCCCCACTGGCAGATGGCCAAGTTAGCCCCGTTGCTTTTGACCTAAAAGAGAAATTCGAGAGTACACTTTAAGGTTAACCATATGTGCCGGTGTGGATGTGAAGAATTCAGCTGTACTAGTTTAGATGCTGTAGAACCTGTTGGATCATCTCCTCAAACTTCTCCTTTTCATATTTCTGGAGTGCTCTGTAGTCCTCCACAGAGGTCACATCCAACTTATGCTTGGTCTTGGGCTTGGGAGGCTCAAACGGGCAGGTGAGGATAGCAATTTTCACATCTTTCAGAACCTGAGTGGTTGAAAAGAACAATTGATAGTATTATTATCTTATGGTTGAAATTGCAATATAACTTATAATAGTACTAAAAGAAAAGTAACAGTGTTCTTCTACCTTATACATTGCTATCTATGTCTACTTTTAATTTCCCTCAGTCTCCCCACAATACATGCCTGTAGTATTTAGATTCGCATTTTACTGGGTTGAGTTATCATCAACAAAAATCATTAGAATACTTGGATTTTTTATGATCATACATACATGTCAGACATGTCATTTGTCCTTATCTACTGGCAGCTATCTTATTCCAAAGTCAATGGCATCCTCTGAGAATATGACTTTGCTCATACCTTGGGCATCTGAGGATGGCTGAACTCCTTGTCAACTATGACTCCCTTGATGAGCTGTGTGTCTTCCAGCTTGCCTCCCACCTTTCCCTCCATCTTGATAAGCTCAAAGTCTACATCCTTCCTCTCCATATCAGCCACAGTGAGGATGGCATTCACTGCAATCTCTGCCATCTGTCTGTGGCACCGGTTGATGCTGAAAGACAAAAGAACTTTAAGATAAAATATCTAAGCAGATCTTAAGTCAAGCCACACAATAGAAATATTAATACTGAACAGTCACTCCTAGTTCTTAACAAAAGAATTGTGACTAATAAATGAAAACACTAGTTTATTCTTTTTTGGTTTTGCTTGTGAAGTATGACGCAAGTCACGAGAACACATTGAAATGTAATGAAGTAATAAAAAGCTACCTAAGACAGTTCATGTTAATGGTACTGTAGCTACAAATTAAAAACACCCCAACACTCTTGTGTCAAGGACACTCACACTTTGGACCCCAGTGTTGTCATGGCGGTCTGAATGAGCGGTTCTGTGTTGTTGGGATCACAGGGGAAGGTTTCTGCCATTTTGTCCAGCTGATCGATGGCAATGCGTGCAGCCTGGTCATAACCGTCAGAGATCCTGATGGGGTGGATTCCACGGTCCAGCAGCTGCTCAGCCTGCTCAAGCAGAGCCCCAGCCAGCACTGAGGAGGAAGAGAAAAAGACAAGACCAATTATAGGTGGAATATGATAAGAAGATAGCATGTTGTCTTCATCAGAGCTACATTGTCATGGCTGCAGGATGCTTACCGTTTCTGTGTATTTATGTGAAAGATATCCTCAATGCATTGAGACAATGAGATGGCATTAAAAGAACCTCACAAATGTTCTTTCTCTTGTAACATCAACAAAATCAATTCAATTCCTGAAGAAAAAATACCTGGATACTCCACACATGATAGAATGCAAAATACTAAAGTGAAACCAAGTCTAATTTTGAAGATGCGGAAAGGCTCAATGTTGTTCTCCTCTAAAGTAACATTTTTATTTAGTGACTTAGCAGAGCCTTTTCCAGTACAAGCCTTTGTGAGATTGTCAGTCAATGATTGCAGAGCACAATCATTGTCTACTTTTCAGTAAAACCCATATACTGTTACATGTTGTTATGATAATCAACTATCACTAAGACCACAACAACACCTCAGCAGAGGTATAAAGTCATGTCTAAGGTTCAAGGATCCCCTCATCTTCCCTTACCAACAACTCCAGTGGTTCCATCACCAATCTCATCATCCTGGGACTTGGACAGCTCCACCATAAGCTTGGCAATCTGGTGGTCCACATCCATCATGCTAAGGATAGTGGCTCCGTCGTTGGTGACAGTCACTTCCCCATCTCTGTCAACCATCATCTTGTCAAGACCTGGAAGCAATCAAGGAAACATGGTTCAGGTGGAGTGATGTGTGACGTTTGAGACATGCTTTAAGTAGCTGTCACAACTGTATGTGGGAGGGAAATTTACAAGCAGTGGTCAAATATAATTGATTTCACAATATAACATACCACCTCAGTTTCCAAGCACTGAGGTGAATGTATTAACGGTTTTGACAGTTTGACCAGAGGAAGTCAGATGTGGCGGCTCTGCATTACATACCATTAGGACCCAATGATGTTTTAAGCGTTGACGCAACTGCCTTGGCTGCCATAATATGAGACTGCAAAACACAAACATCACAATTAGCTAATCTTATTGCACTCTTGGTTTTACATCGGAGACCAATAGAGGCTGTAATATGCGAGAATGTTTCAACAGAGGACAATGGAGATGATGTGCATCAATGATGACCATTAAGGGCACAGCCCTATGCTACATAGCAACATCCCTAGCTGAACGCATCGCAGAAAGCACATGGGCCGCATGTTAGCATGACTAGCTAATCTTTTAGCTAATGCTACATTATTTTAGCTTGCCAGTTAAGTACATGCATGTGAATCAAAGCCTTGGATATCAATACATGTCATGCCAGATAAACTGTTTTGGTGCCCAACATCATGCAACTAATAGCAAACTAGCAATTTTCTAGCCAACATGCCACAGCTGTGCCCCGCGAGCTAGCCCATTGTACCTTCAATGCGTCAATGCCCGTTAACCGTGTCTTCTTGTCCTGGTCTTTGATGATGATGAAAGGCCTCCCATACTCATCGAAAGCTAGTGTCCCCAAGGTGGACATGTTGACTGAGGGATTAGGACACTTAACAAGTGTTTAGGTGATAAAATAATGAGTTTTTATGATGTGAGTCTGGAGTGTGGCTAAGCTGTAAGCCGCACGGGTCTGCCGGCGACTTCTGGAAGGCTCCACGGGCGGGGAGGGCGGAACCAAGTAGTGTTAAGTGTGTCTTACTATTATACACATAAATACCTATTTATCCAGGATGACAACACAGAATTAATTTAACTATGTTAACATAACTGCAAGAATTCAGTTCAAGCGTTTCATACATGATATTTAAAAGGTAGAACTTAAAAATATCTTTTCTGCAATGTGGTTTCTTCCGATCACGTTCAATCAAAGTCCACTGTGATCTCGCGTGATGTCAAGTGTTGATAAAATTCCATTGGAAGGAGGTCTTGATTGTAATGCCAAAGCTAAAGGTATGAATATAGCTTTAAAAATTGACTTATAATCTGTGTTCCACGGCACATCTATATTTTTACATAGTTTCGGACCTCTTTCGCTGAAAAAGACGTTTTCAAGCCAGGGCAAGTATTCCGTACGCTAACTGTGTTGTCAGTTACTATTAGCTAACATACACAACTCTGCTTTATTTATCAAGTGGCTGTTTTTGATTTAGATGCGAAAAGATATATTACATGCTCGAATCCACGTGCACTAAAGTAACGCTGTGAACGTCAAAAGCTGACGCAACGTCCGGGTACTTTATGGTGGTGTTCAGGGTTGCTGCGTTTCACAATTTTAAGAAGGTTGTTTTGTGGCAGTCTGTCTGTAACTTGTCAAACCTTGAAGTATGTAGGTAAGCTGAGATATCATGAAAACACAGTTTGTGACGGTTGTTTTTTGTTTTTCAATAATTTGTCAACACATCATGGCAAACATAAGCCAACAACACAGCCTCCTACACTAGTTCTCTTTTTCTTTTTCACAGGCATTTTAACATGAATAGCACAGGTATGCTCAGCTTACTGGGATGGACACAATGGAGGCATCATTAATGTTATTTATAACAACTGTTCTTTTTCAATTACAACAATCCTAAATGCCTGTTGTGAATAATGTCTATTAAGAAATGTTATTAAGGAATATGATGTTGTTTTTCTGGATGTTCCAGCATGCCCTGTGAAGCGAAGCCTCGGTTCTTGGTTCTGTATGGATCTCAGAAGGGACAGGCCCAATCCATAGCAGAGGGGATAGCTGAGGAGGCCGAGGATCACGGACTGGTAGCTGAACTCAGTTGCTTGAACCAGAATGAGAAGGTATTACACATTAGAACAGTTTTACTTAAAGCAGAGCTGTTTAAGCCTCTCTGTTACTGCATGGCTAATAACACACAATAACACATCAATAACGTCTTAGTAGAAGTGATGTTGCCTAATGATTGTGAGGATATTAATGTAATGTGTTTACATGTGGACTGTGGAAACACCAGTCACTGATTAATCATATAACTGGTTCCAGTACAATTTGGAGAAGGAGAATGCCCCAGTGGTCTTTATTGTGTCTACTACTGGAGATGGGGAACCTCCAGACAATGCCCTCCAATTTGTAAAGCGCATCAAGAAGAAGACCCTCTCCACTGACCACTATAAACACCTTTGCTATGCACTTTTAGGTAAATTCTACTATGAGGGTCTGCAGTAACTCTTTCTGTAGCTCATCTGTAAATGTGTGAACTTGATATGTACAGCATATTTATGTAAATCATTACAATGCAGAGCACTGCACATTGTTTACTTCCTGAGCAGTTACTGGCTTGAGAAATCATCATCTGTTTTACTCTGTGTGCTCCAGCTTTAGGAGACACAAATTATGAAAATTTCTGCAACTGTGGGAAGACAATTGAGCGTCGTCTACAGGAACTTGGAGCCAAACAATTCTATGCGACGGGATATGCAGATGATGGTGTAGGGTAAGTTCTCCTGAGAAATGAAGTGTAGACATATAGTTTCCTGTACTTGGCCTTTAACCTTCCCACATAGTTAAAATCTGTTTACTACACTGCTGTCATTTCATCATCTTGTGGACTTTCCTCTCTCCAGGCTGGAGGTTGTTGTGGACCCCTGGCTTGAAGGACTGTGGAAAGCAATCAAAGGAGCCTTATCAAAAATGGCTTCTGATAGGACTGGTCCCTTAAAAGGTGGTGCGGAAGATTCACCAAAGGAAACTCCTGATTCATACATACCAGATGTCCAACTTAACCTCCTAAGTCTTAATGACCACCAGAGCTGCGAGTCAGTCGGAGCATCTGTAGACACGAACGCCAAATATGCATCGGCTGCTTCATCTTCGGCTCCTGATACGCAGACTGCTGTTTCTGATCTCAGGCCAGCTTCTACAGCAGGGAGCCCTATGTTGGCGTCCCAGTCTCATGGCACTGCCAGTGTTTCTACATCAGCACCAGAGACACAGACCGGGGATGTTGGAGTTCCACATGATGCATTGGCAGCCTCACTGACATGCTCCCTGCCCCCACTGTCAGAGTCTTCTCTTAATGTACCTGCTCTGCCTCCTCCCTACCTGGATGTCTCTCTTCAAGATATGGACATTATGGAACCGGTGAGGAATGATGCTGCTGATAAAACCAGTGATTGTGCGATACGGCACCCTTCATCTCACAATTGTTTATGTGTTTGTCCAGATTGTTCGACGGTTAAACAGTGAAAGTCTTCATGAGGTTCCCATATACAGAGCAGTTCAGATGACCAGAGGAGATTCAGTCAAGACATCCCTTCTTTTAGAGTTGGACATTTCTGTAAGTTTTGACAGAATCATGTTAATGACATTTTCTTAACCTGCACTATGAATTTAGATTTAGATTTAGGCTGCAGTTTAAGCTGTTGCTTTAAGATTCCTCTTTATTCTCAGGCTAACCCGATGCTGGCCTATCAGCCAGGGGATTCGTTTGATGTGTTCTGCCCAAACAGAGCCACAGAGGTGGAGGACATGCTCCACAGACTGGGCCTTCAGGACCAGAGGAACCATCATGTCCATGTTTCTCTCAAAAAGGACACCAAGAAAAAAGGTGAAGTGCACCTGTCACATAATTTTAACCTGCATGACTAATTTACTCTTAAACTCTGCAGCAAACTACACAGCTCTGACAACACAATATCCCTTATGTGATGATAGCACATGGCATATTAATGTTTTACAAAAGGTCCTTATTTACCTTGTTTTGATCATTTTCTGATGTTCTTTGCTCCCTGGCTGTAGGTGCCCAGGTGCCATCTCACATCCCCCAGAACATTTCTTTGCTCTACTTGCTCACATGGTGTCTAGAGATCAGAAGTGTTCCTAAGAAGGTAGTGTACAGCATGTCCAAATATTGCTCTGAAACTACTGTCTCTGTAAATTGCATCAGCCAAACCACTCTTTCATGTGACATCCTATTTGTTCTTTTAGTGTATCAGCATAATAAGAGGGAAGATATTTTTTTGGTGTCATGTTTTCTCCGGCAAGAATGCACTGCTTTTATTTGTATTATCAAAGCTTGGAGAACAGTGTATTGCTTTTCATGCAGAAGTGCATTTACATTTTGACTATTTCACTTGGCAGTGATTTCTTTACTGAACAAGCCCATTGTGACTCAAATAGTCTGTCAGGACCCAAATGATTTGCATGGGTCCATAGTTTGGTTTCATAATCTCAGGCAGGACTGGATTCAATATGTCTGGGTCAAAGGCTGAGTGATGATTAAACTTGCCTGGTCTTCTCTGGCAATGGAGATTAACACATTTGGTGCATCAAAGAGTCAAATGGCCACCTTGCGCTTTGGCAGTGCCTAACTTATGGCTGGAAATGTGGTCTGCATGGGTTTCACAAAACTCTCTAACTTTTGCAATGTTCCTTTAAATGCTTACTATACTACTGACAGTGGCTTGTGAATCACTGAGAGCCTTCCTGTATTCCTCGTACTGTTTCTAATTTCCATGTCTGAATTTATTTTTGCTCACATTGCATTTTCATCCTGATTTTTTTATTTTTTATTATGGAAGTAAAATTCATTATTTGATAAACACATTATAGTCTAATGAAATTGAAAACTATTCATTTTCCTCTGGCATGATCTGCATCGGTAGTTTACTGGTTTTTGTAAACAGCGCAGTAAATGACAAAAGGATGACAATTTGTAAAGTGTCAGAATATGGCAGCAATCCAGTAGCTCCTCAGTAAATACAACAATTTAAATATTGTTATGTGAAAACAGTAAAAGACATTATGGAATATTAGTCCGAAATGTTCTGGTTTGATTTAATAACAAAAGCTTTTCAACTTTTCAACTTCAGTCTAAATTATAACGGCTACTAGCACTTCAGTTCCCTGCTGCATGTAAGGCTCGCACGGACTCTTTTTCTCCCATGTTATTAAATTCCTGCACAGAAATTGATTGCTTCAGGTCAAAGTGTTGTCTACGGACTTACAAGGCAGTAAGAGTTTTATTTTACAACACCTGTCTATGTAGTCCAAGCAGTTAATCTGTTTTACTAAAGCATTTACAACATCTATAATTTTTAAACACCACAATTTTTAGGATAGTGAAAGATAATAACCACAGCCTCTTAGTAAGTACATTTCCCAATAACAGCATCATATACAGGTGATGACTCACCATTTCTACTAAGACAAATATATTACTCATGCCATCCAGAGACTCTGACATTTACAGTCACCAGAGTTTGACATTAGTCATATACTAGTGAGGGTATGGTTGAAGGCTGGTTATACTGGATGGATTGGAAGATCGGGATAACGATTCTAATAGGTACACAAGCTGCAAGAATGTGCCACTAATCTCTGCATATGTGCATGCATGAACTATAATGAATGAAAATCTCCAGTACACTTAGGCATGACAAATATTTAGAAGTTCTGATAACCTTATCAGATAGATTAATATAGTCAGATCACTCTAACAGCAGAGCAGCAGCTGCATTTTAATATTTCTTCATGAACTCTTTAATCCTGTAATTTAAATAACTGCCCACAAAAAGAATAATTAGCTGTTATTAATGAAATGTCATTTCAACAGCAGCTTGTCTCCTGCAAATTAAACATATTCATTGATTGTATTAATTGATTTTGATTGGTTTGCCAAGAAATTGCTGTGTATATTTAATTGTCTGTATTCCATAGCTGGGTTGGTGTCGAGGTCTAACTCTACAATTTTCATTCACCCAGAAAACTTGAAAAGATTAGCTTTTTATGTAGCCAGTGCACAGTGTGGCATTGAAGTCTGTCCTGCTGCAGGGTCAGAAAATGTATTAGGTGGCACTACTTTTTACTGTGGTGAACGGGTACCTGAATCAATGACTTTACATACAGTTTCTCTCTCTCTCTCTCTCTCTCTCTTTCTCTGTCAGGCGTTTCTACGAGCGCTGGTGGAGCATACAGGGGACAGTGTGCAGAGGAGGAGACTGCAGGAGCTCTGCAGTAAACAAGGCGCCACAGATTACAACCTGTATGTGAGAGACTCGAACCTCAGCGTTTTGGAGCTTCTTGCAGCCTTCCCATCCTGCTGGCCTCCTCTCAGCCTCCTCATAGGTCAGAATCCCTGTTGTTATCTCACTCAGTCAGTTAGTCATAAGGTCCAAAATGTGTGAGTCTGTGAGTCCATAATAAACAGGTGTACTGGGCAAAAACTATCCTCACTACAGTGTCTCCTGTAGGACTGTGCAATTACATGCAGAGTCATGTAATTGCGACATCATGACATTGCAGCGGTGGGAATAATGTTGCGGTGGTGATGGGCTAATGCTGCAAAATGTGTATAAGGGAAACACTGTGCTAGATGCATTACATAACATGCTGCATGAAAACCTTTCTGATGTACAAAATCTGATCAAACATCACAAACATTTATTTTTGTCATTTTTATTTAACTTAATCTTCGCCATGTAGCAAGTCACAGGTACATTTCATAACCACTATTTTTATCCAGTAACAAATGAGAAAACAGACTAACATTGTGCATATTTTGTTTTTGAGTTTTATTATTATAATATATTCATGTTTAATTAAAAGCAGGCTTTCATGTTGCCTAAAGCAAATGGGGAATTACAGTGATTGACATGTGAGTGGGATTTAGACTGCACCTGTACAAAATATCACTGGAATAATTTACGTCAGAACTAGTTATTTCACTTTGAAAAAGACCTCAGGTTATGTCAAGTCTGTCTACTTGTTATTCAGGTAGGTTTGTCTGTCTAGATCATTTCTATCCAGTAGGAGTCACTGTAGCCCCAGTAAATAGAGCATAGAATGCACAGTCTCAAGGCTGATTTCTGTGAGAGCATTTAATTATACCGAATGGTCAGACTGTGTACATCAGAGAGGTCCCCAAAGGACCAACACTCATTTCCTTGTCTGAAGTCCACATTGCTCCAATATAGTTTCTGTGTCACTGTTCCTGTGATTATAATGGCAGTACTGTAGCTGCAAATTAAGAGAGATTTTTTCAGTTTAGTCATTATCTTCCCCCTGCCAATAATATTGATAATTTCTTTGCCACTGTGTGCAATCCCTTTTTTGACCCTTTGAGCCAGCTGTTGGTATAAAACTAACATGTCTCCCAGCTCATTTAGATAGTTGGCTGGTCATTCACTATAGATCTAATAAGCTTTGACTGAAACTTAGCAGACAGTGAAATTAGTTGGCTACAGCTTTACATACAAGTTGAGTTGTCCTCTAAAACAGCTGTGTCACAGCTCTTGGCCTTGCCCAATGTCAGTTATTTTTGGCCTACTTGCCAGCCACAGCACCTTTTTCAGTAGTGAACTGATGGAGAAATTGGCAATCGGGACAGTCGTGCCCTCGTGAAAAATGTGGAGTTGGAGGCCCTTTGGGGCAACAGCTGTTATTCCAGGGACATGGTGCTGTTTGCTGGTGAGTCACTGAGCTTTGCAAGGACAGAAGCGCACTGGGTCAGCTTGGATCATAGGTTAATGGTCAACTCTGACTCATTGTGTCACTGTTGAAGTATACTGCTGCATTTTTGTACTTCTCTTGGTTCATTACCCTGACCGAAGGGGAGGTGTTTGCTGATCATAGTTTATGCTGTAATACACAAACCATAAATATTGAGGAGAGATGTGTCCCGGCCCAGATGTCTTTGGTCCAGTGCAGGCTGGGTAAAAGTAAATTCTGGGTATAAATTGAGAAAGATACCTGCTTCCCAGAGTCAGCTCTCTTGTTATATGGTCCATTGTTTCATATAGTCTGTCAGATGAAAACTTTGAGGTCATAGCCCCAGGGAGGTGAATGCTGTCCATGAGCATCTTTTTCAATTTACTTTACCGCAGCGTTCAAATAAAATTTTACCTGGGTGCAGTTTTATTCTTTTATTTATTTATTTATTTATTTATTTTTACCTCTATTGTGACCTGTGCAAGAGAGTAAAGCAAACTAAAGTAAAGTAAAGGGAATGTGTCTGTATCCCAAGAGACTTGAGCCCCTTCTCTCTCCAGAAAGGCTTGAAATTTGAAAGTTTCCTGGTCACAGAGCATGCAGCGCATATCACATATATATTCCCACTTCATTCATTTAAGATAGAATAAAATGCCTTGGAAAACTTTTAAATGGATTTGGAAAACCATGAGCTAGCAGGTACTTTTCTCTGAAGTAACTTGAAATTAGCATTTTGTAGGCTATTAAAAAAAAGAAAAAACCTTCCCACAGAGAATTCCTCTTAATGCTTTAATGCTAACAACCTCGTTAATTTCATCTGCAGCCAAAGAAACTATCCATATATCTTAAGAAATATAACTTTTATGTTCAACCACATTGCTATATCATTTTTTTTCCCTCTAAAATGGTCTTTCTGCATATAAATTGCGACGCATAGAGACTTTTGAGATGGAATAGATTATATTGTTGTGCAGCATGATCGATGATACCCCTGAAAATGATCACTTCTGAAAAACATTGCGGAAACCCTGGGACTGTTTTTTTTTTGGTACAGAGACCTTTTTGTGAAATAAATATTTTAAAATGTATCCTCAAGTCTCTCGCTGCAACAAAAAAAAAAAAGCTTTGCACTCAAAAGGTTTAAGAAGTGATATATCCTATCTACCAGCGGTATCATGATGGTGCAGTGATGCCAGATGATGGATTGACTGTCCTCTGCTTCAGACGTGTACTGTCACTGAGATAGAAAGGCAGGAACTCGAGCACCATGCGGCTGGAGGAGGATTGTCTTAATGTGCATGATACCCTCTCATGGAGAGGTGTGTGTTGTCACTGATTCTCTCTGATGGATTGCAGAGTATGTTTTAGAGGATTTGTCCAAAGAAAGATTTTAGACCTATTTATTTCTGAAGATTTATTCAAGTGACTTACTGTGCGTTGCATCTACAGTACAAGCATATTGATTATGACAAAACAAGGCCAGTGTGCAATCTTAGCTCTCCTTCTTCTCAGCCACCACATCTAAACATTTGAACTTCTTTGTCAGAATTAAAGTCTCCTACGTTGGAGTTAGAGTTTTATATTTCTGTGTCGATCGACAGAACATTCATCAGCAACCATTTTGTCAGTCGATTAGTTGTTTTAGCAATATTTCAAGCAAAAATGACAAAAATTCTCCTGTGCCAGATTCTCAGACGTGAGAAGCTTTGTGTACTTTTCTTTGCAATGTATGATAGTAAAATATTATGGTATGATGGTTATGGAGTGTTGGTCCAATAGAATAAGAAATCTCTCGGGCTATGGGACATTTTTATAGGGCATTTCTCACTATTTTCTAACATTGTATTGACCAAATGATTAATCAGTTAATTGAGAAAAAAACTGGTAGCTATATCTTTAATGGAAATAATTGTTTGTTGCAGCCCTAATCAAAAATATAACAAGATCTCCTCTGATCCTCAAGCTTCAAACAAGTAGTACACAAAACAACGGAAGAAAGAAAATAAATAATTACCCTGACAAAGGGCTTGTTTTTAACCTGTCACCCAGGCTTTCTCCAAGTAATTGGCTAGCTTAAATGTTTTGTATCTGAGAAGCAAACAACAGAATGAACCCTATTTTCCATATCATTGAGATTGCACTTTTTCGTCTGCTTGACTGAACATACTTTATAGTTTCAAAATTGACTGGTGAAATACCAGATCTCAACTAGGAACAGAGATCTTTGCTTCTTAAAAATATTGAGAACACAATTCTTCCATATTCATATATTACTATCCTAAATGTATGCAGTTTTTGTGTTAGTGGTGTTACTCTCTGAGCTTGTTTTTATTTATTTTTTTTATTATTGTTTGTTTCTTTTAGTACCTGAAGGAATCTAGATCAGCAAAGTCATTGGAAAACTGTCTGTCTGTTTGGGCAGGACATATGGTTTTGTTCCAAAACCTTTCAAACTTACTTTTAAACGTTTCATGCATCACCAATTTTTAAAAAAAAAAAAAGGAAAAAAAAGATCCCAGCTCAAAAAGATGAAATGGATGTCAAAGTGCGGAGCTGCCTCACTAACACTCTGAGCTGTTTAGATGTCAGAGAAATCCAGAAAGAGAGGAGAAAGCAGATTTAGTCCAGCTGTTTGTCTTTCCAAGCAATTTAGCAGAAGAATGTGTTATTGTAAGGCCTTGGCTGGTACATATGGCGCAGCTTCACTCTCCTAGGTTCATCTATCAGTGAAATATAAATAAAATCCAAGGGAGTGCATAGCAAGCACATCAAACAACTCTCAATCATTCTCTTTGTCCACATCTAATAGTTTGTGTCGGTCACAGCTTACCACACGGCGTATCCTGTTGCTAAAGCGTGAAAAGTTATACGTTTTCCTGATTTTTCTCAACACCTCCTCACAAATACAATGCACACTACATATTACCCAAAAGAGGGCACCTTCATGGCTGGCATTGAAATAAGGTCTGCATAAGCAATCTGTTTCCTACTGGCTCCACATCTGGACACTTGGGATTCCGTAACCCTGAGTTTGTAATTTCATAAATATAGAAGTGTGTCCTAGAAACAAGACTGAAACCTGGGTGGGGGTTGCTGAGGGTAGATTGGTAGGTAGGACGTCTCAATGGACTGAGATGACTTTCACTTATTTTGTCTCCTCTCTGTCATGGTTGTCTGTGTAACAAAATCTTAGCACGACATCAGGATGATTGACAGCTCTGCTTGCTTTTCAGAGCATTTGCCGAAACTGCAGCCGAGGCCTTACTCAGCAGCCAGGTAAGGTGACAGAAAAATAAGACTGGAGCTTACATTTTCTCCTGCATACATCTGTCTTATTCTTAGCAAATAATCACGGGGGCTTAAATCTTCCTAATTTCTGATGGTGTTTCCTAGCTGCACAATAAGTACACATTAAGAAATTGTATTAAGACAGTGATATTTCATGGAGAATTAAATCCATGGATGCGTTTCTGTACAATTTAAAACACGCCTCATCCTGGATTTAAATAATCCAAGAACCTGACCATTAATCCAGTGATTCTAAATGGTGTTCAGATATGGAAATGGTTTGAAATAGCTCTGTTTTACCTTCATTGGAAACTCATGTTTTGCTGTTTGTAATGGTGATGTATCTAAATCATGACATGTTAAGGGAGTAATTGACACATGTCATTTATTTCAAGATCAAGATCTCTTTTATCATTTACTCAGTTGCCATAGAAAAATAATATGACCTCCCCTCCTCGTTTATTTAGATATTTCAAATAAGACACCGGATTAATTCTACTCAGGGATCCCTTAAACCCTAATCCCATAATCAGTTGTTCTGTTTCAAATTTGACTGTATAGAAGATAGAAAGAATATTTCTGAAATCATGTAGCATTTATTACAAATACATCAGAAAATCCAGACAAAATCCAGACAGGCTTAACTTGCAAAATGATTGCCAAATAGAGACTGAAGAAGAGGGCTGCATATATTTTTGTCCCAAAGTTCATAAATGGTCATATAATTTAGGACTTAAATTAGCTCTGTTTAAGATACTGCATATTATAGTCCAGAGGAGATGCATGAGATGAACAGTGAAATGGGATTTTTATGTTTTTTTTTGTTTTTTTTTGCATATGTTTTGGTCTTGTGATGTTCTAATCTTGTTTTGTGAATTTCTTGTTGATATTTTATCCCTGCGCATGCATCATAAAATATCGCTAAATCTTCCACTTTGTTTATTAGGTACTATTAGACAAGAGAGTTGGAGTATGCAGGATGAAATACATATTGATCTTGCAAGAGGAGATCTGCTAGTTTTCCAACTCCTTCATAGTGGTGGATTGAGCTTTTAAATTATCTGACATTTGAAAGATTGTATTATAACGTCAAAACTGCTCCAGGAATGTTATTAAGTTTGGCATTTTCATAGGAATTTGGATTTTTGGAGACATTCAGAAAAAGAAACAAAAATTATCTGAACTCATGACATACATATACCTATATATAGACCTAATAATTATTGTTTGTGTATGTATGTGTGCGTTTATCTAAAGTTTGTTATGGATTCTCTTTGTCACACCCTGAACAGTCCATGTCCATGTTATGTGTGCCTTTTGTTTGGATGGGTATTTGTAGATATAATCACCTTATAAGCTCAATGATGAGAGGGGAAAACTGCACAAATGAATGGACTGTAAATATTATGTAGTCTTTAGCTGGTTGTGCCTCGTTTAAATAGGCCCAAGTGCTCCTTCTCTTTGCCTCACTTAGCCTGTCATTGATTTGCTCTTCCTGTTAAGCTAGTGCCCATTAAGTTTGCTTTAAAGCTCATGTGGAACAGCAACATCTAACGCAATGTCAAAACTTCTCCGCTCCCCTCATTAGTGCCTCACTTAGCTTCTTATTTGTGTGTGTGTTTGTGTGTGTGTGTGTGTGTGTGTGTGTGTGTGTGTGTGTGTGCGGAGAAACAAGGAACGGACAGGAGAGATGGTGGCTGTAGTTTATCAGATGGTGCAGAGACATTAGAGGCCTGCATTATTGATGCTGTGGTCAATAGAGGTCTCCAGTGGCCCACAGGAACTGGAGAGTGAAGGATGAGAGAGCGTGACAGTGCTTCAGCCCGCAATGAAGACTGGAACGGGTAGAGGGAGAGGCAGTTTTATTGAAGAAAGATAGACAGAAAGTTATTTTTTCTCTCTCTCCCAGCAGTATTTTTTTAGTCTAGAATGAAGCAGAAGCAGACATTATGGTGTAGATGACTTATTCGGAAACAGGGGTACTTTAATCCTTGGGTCTACTCCTATAGTTTCCTGGTGGGATGTGGAAAGATGGTGGAGTAGCTCAACTAATTTGAAAAAATTAAAATTATGACTTGATTAACAAACGTATCCACATGTTTGTGGTAAGGAGGCAAATAAACGCACAAATAGGATTGCAAGTTGTTGTAGATGTTGATCTTTAATTGGCTATGTAAAAAATAAGATAACAGCCAGGCAGCCACAATAGGTTGACTGCACAGTACCTCTCACCAACCTGAGTCACCTGTTATGTTTGAGAGCTATTTATCACATGAACAGAGAAATTAAAATATGTTGCTAATGGTTAACTTAGAGTATTTGCTATGCAGTTAAAGTAGTTATCTTAAAGGCTATTTGTAAGTTTTGCTATTGCTACATTGCCAACATTAGCAGACTTCATTCCTTTACTCTCCTAGAACTGTCTCCAGCAGTGCAAAGCAACGCCAATGATAACTGTTCTCTCTATCACGTCTTTTCATCTGCTGAAGTTAGCACGCTAACCAGCTAGCCCTGGCCCAGCTTGTCACTTTCTAGCGACTCACTGTAGCCTTCAATTTGCCCTGAACACAGCGCTGATTAGAGGGCGTATTGAAATCTCTAGTCTTGTAAACGCAACAATGCCTGAAGCTCTTACCAAGCAACAACCACCACCACCACTCCCAACAAGAAATCACGTTCTGCAGCAGAGAAAACTTACAAATAGCGCCTTTGAAATAATTGACAAATGGTTGGGATAGATGGCAAAAACTAATAGATAAACAGTTGAAATAACTAGATAGCAGAAGAAATGGATAAATGGTTGGATTTTTTTTTTAGCAAAAAAAAACATTTAAAAGAACAGGTGGTGTTGATGAAGGGTACCTGAGCATATGACTGAGCTGTGGGGGTATGTCAGACAACAACAGTTGGGAACAACTGGTGTAGATCATAATTTAGCACATCTGAAGGTCATGTGCATATCTGTAATTAATATTGAATCAAATATCTCTGTATCCTTGTTACTTAGCTTAAAATCTGTAATTTTTCTTAACGTTATCTTGCGTGAATCATTTTTAGGAGAATTGTTGTCTAGACTTTAGAGTTGATCCTCGCTCGTAATACATGTGCCTTTCTGTATCCATCTGTTGTCCCTCTGCTCCTCTGTATTTCACTCCATTTTTCACTTCATCTCTGTGTATCTCCCTGCTTGTCACTGTCTGTCTCTATGTCTTGCACACACACTGTTGCACACTGTTGTTTCCCTCTACCTCTGTCTTCTTCCATCTCAAAATCTCTGTGGTCCCATCGCTATAGCTCCTGTCTTAAGCACCCAGGAAAGCTGCATTTTGTCTTCAATGTGGTAGAGTTCCCAGCATGCTCTGGGCGGCCTGCGGGAAGGCGAGGCTTGTGTACCGGTTGGCTGTTTGACCTCATCAATCCTGGCCTGGTTTTCCCTGGGAAGCCTGAATGCTCTGGCAGCCGGGCTCTGCCTAAGGTAATGAGTACACTGGAAAATAGAGGGCTGAAACTAGAATGTGCAAATTTGTGGGCTCTTGGTTGGATTATGTATTTCTAAGTGTTCAAATTTGTGAGTACAAAAGTTCACAGGTGGTCTTACAATTATAACCTCCCAGTTATAGGGAGAATAAAAACAAACCTCTGTAGGTTACACCCTCCTTACTTTGAATTTTTCTAATAAAACTACAGAGAGAGGTGGACTGCCCGTTTCCCTTCAAATATTCCAGCTCAAGAGGTTCCCGAGTAAAAGAGACGGCAGAATATCAGAAAACTGTGCCGTTTCTGGAATTAGGGATTCAACCTGTTCGCGTTACATGTTTTAGGCTCCTCTGGAAGATCAGTTTAAATGTATGAGACGCTAAAAAAGGAACGAGCTTTGGGCCAGTTGTGTGTGGTTAATTAAAAAAATTAATTTAAATTAAAGCAAGTAAATCTTCTCTTACACAGACTCTATGGATTCCAGTCGGAGCTCATGAGTTTTCTCATTAGTATGTCTTAGAATATTAAGTAGATCAATTAATAGATTGGTAAGCCCATAGTGGCTTCTCAGCATTGTTGTAATTACTCTCATTATTTTAAATGCTTTCTAATGGCCTCTGTCCCTCAGATCCATGTGAGTTTGAGACCATACTGCTCCTTTCGGCCTCCCTCTGACCTGTCGGTGCCCTTCATAATGGTTGGACCGGGCACAGGAGTTGCTCCCTTCATTGGTTTCCTCCAGCAAAGGTACGGCAAATTTAACACTACATCTTTATTTAGTAAGAGACACATAGTTTGCAGGGATCTCTCATTTTGCAAATGTCTTTATCAAGGAAAATCAAGTACATGTGGGAATGCACTTGATCCTTTGCCAATGTTATTCATGTTACAAGATGGGCTGCTGAACTAGGTCAGTTAAATGTTCATGTCAAGCATCAGAAACGTGCAGGTTATGTGCTGACTGTTGCGCCATGTGGCACGGATTACTCCAGCTAAAATGCCTGCGCCCCATAATGAATATTCAAAATGTTCAAGTGATGTGCGTGAAGTTCACATCGTCTATGCATATTTTCAAGTAATCTGCAGAGACAATTCAATGAGACCCTGCTCAAAGCTGATAAAAGTCCACATCATGTACATCTCATAAGGCATAATAAATCTAGCGGCAAGGTCTGCAATCACGTCTGGGATTATTTCAGATGCTTCACTTGTCTCAACAGGAACAAATTAGGTCCTCTCTGCTACACACGTTTATTACTTGGTATGTAATGAACACCGAGGAGTCAAGGCAAGGCATGTGGTGTTATTGATTTGAAAGTATAAAGTCCAGTAGGTGGTGGCCACTATGTTGTAAAATTGTAAAAAATAAAATAGCAAGTAAGTCATTGGTTGTAATTGCTGATGAGCTGGTGTTGGGATATTGACTGTGACCTGAGCTGTAGTTATCTACAGTTTGTTTAACCATGGCTTTACGTATAAATGCCTGAGGAGTGAAAAACATGACATTTTGTTTAATTTTCGGTGGTTCTGAATTGACGGGTGAATCAAGATTGCAAGAAGATGACCTACCAGAAGGATTTAATGTGACTAAAGCCTCTCTAGCCACGCTGACGCCCATGTGTTGAACCAGGCCGAGCCACTATGACTTGTCAGAAAGTGGAGTAAGCCTTTTTAGTCAGACTGACATGTCTAACTCTTGGGTGGCTTTGTATAAATGAGGTTGTGCCCCAGTCAACTCCAATTGTCTCTAAATCCCCCGGATGTCTCCTCTGTTGAGGTGGGTGGCGTTGGCGGGTGATTGCTGTGAGAGGTGGCACGGCATCGGCTGCAGTGATGCCGGTGGTGAATTGTCTGCAGCAGATTCCGGGGAGGATGAGTGGTCTTCTCGGGTGAGAGGTGCTTGTGCCTTTTGGGATGCAGGAGCACTGAAGATAGCACACGTTTTTGGACTGACCTGGTCACACGCTCGCAGACAGACTCCTCTCCTTAATGATCAAGGTTGAGCCAGGGGGACAGTACTCTGGTGAGAGGCAGTGATATGAACATATCAGTCTTACTTTGATCCTTCCAGCAGTACTCAAACACTGCTCTCTCTTTAAAAAAAAAAAAGAAAAAAAAGAAAAAAGAAAAGAAGATATCAAAATACAAATTTAAGTGTTTTATTAATGGGCTGTCCTTTCAAACCTGCCTGTCAGTGCAAACAAAACACTCAGACCTTGATTGATTTTTGGAAGGCTTTGTTTCATAATACAAACACTACAACCCCTAATCAAATACATCCTTGAGAGTTCAATGTTGTATTTTTTTTTAATGTTTTCAAATTTCTTTTATTAAAGTTCAACCATGTTTTTCTTTTTATTTCAAGAGGCTCTTCACTGTTAGAGTACAAACTCATGTGAACCGATTGATCAGCTTGTCTGACTCCTCAGTTCGTTCTCCCTCTCTCATCCTCTCCCCTGCCAACTGCATATTGTGCTGGAGGATTGTAAAAACCTGTCATGGTGCGCGGCATTGTACAGAATCTAACTTGAGATTCCAAACAAAGCCTCGGTGGCTGACGGTGCACTCTGATAGGAGATAACAATCACCAGTTTGTCAACGGGACGCCGTATCTGCCTCGAGGCCTGAGAAGGGTCCTGTTAGCAACAAAACAACATGGGGACTGTTCGATCTTCCTACCTCTCCCCATCTTCCACCCCCACTGTTATTAGATGGCTGTTTGCAGAAGTACTTTGTGCGAGTTTGTAGTGCTGTCAACAAGTAGAAGAAGGTCATAGGCTGACTTGGTGGTACTAAGAGGTTTTAATAAGGCCCCCAAGTAGTCTGGTATTGATTGCTGTAGTTTTCGTGGAAGGATTTTATGGAGAATGTAATTTTCAGTGTCTTTGTATTCAGCTTGGAGCAGTGACAGTTAAACAAATATTGTATTTTAACTGAGTAGTTAGGCTTAATCTCCTTAGCAGCTCTAACAAGCTTTAATTTTGGAAAAAAATCTGTTTGCTCAGTTCAATACTTCGGTGTGCCAGTAGGCATACTTGGCACATTCAATATGATAACTTGTATTAAAGTTTGTGTGTTTGTGTGAGCAAATATTGAGCTTCCTTTTTATCAGTGTAACCAAACAGCTGATTACAATTAGGCTAGAGCATCTTGCTCCTCAGTGTTGTTCTGTTTTATGAAAACATTTTGACTTCAGCATGTTGAATGTATATGGGTGTAATTACACAATTTAATTTCAGTGATTAAGCCTCGAGCTGTCGTTGTATTTAGGCTTTTATTTTAGTTCTTGTTATATTTTTATGCCTAAAAGCCACTCAGCACCACTTGCACGAAGCTGCAAAGAAAACAGATGAAAGATATGAGATAATTGTGATGTTTACCAAGTCTTCACCTCAGCTTCCCCTGCAGTTTCCCCCTCCTGCTGATCATCTGAATGGCACTGAAAGGCAACCGCCTCTGATTTCGACCCCAAATGGAGTGCTCTGTGGATGCTGCCTTCCCCTTGGGATTGTATTGCAGGCTGTTATAGTGTGGGTATGTGATGTGATGTGATTTGTATTCAGGGAAGGCGCCGGTGTGGTCTACTCAGAATGGAATCCAGGTTTTTCATATTGGTATTGATTCCTTTAGGGCAGGCAGCGAGAGGAGAGAGACGAGCCCACTAAAATGAGTTTACTTGAGGCTGTTTGCAGATCAGAAGAATCTCGTCCAGGATGCTAATGGACGGGATCTGAGTGTTCGGATCAAGTCAGCCAGACAGCTCTGTTACCAGGCCTCATTCACAGACTTTCAGTTCAAACAAACGTTTTTCTTAACTGCTCAAATTCCATTTCATTAATGCAGAGCTAAGCTTTGTTTTAGTATTCACACTAAGACTTTGGCATTGATTTAGTCTTTTTCAGTAAGGATAATTAGTCTAGAGCTGCAACTAACAATTAACTAACATTCATTATTTTCATTATTCAAAATCTAATAAATAACGTTCATCATTTAGTAGAAAATATCAGAAAATAGAAAACAAATTTAATCACATTTTTCCAGAACTGAAGATCCATAATCTAAAGATATCTTCTTTACAATGATATAAGCAATGAAAGCAGCAAATGTTTGGGATATTTTTTTTGACTAATTGCAGAAACAAGTGGTTCGCAAATGTTTTCTGTTTTGTAAACTTGTTAAAGGACAGGAATTTTTTATTTATTTTTATCTACCATTAGCAACATTAGCGAAATTAGCAACACAAAATGAGACAAAAGGAAAGTTAACTGAAAAAACATTTTGATGATCGATATTAAAGTTTTTAGAAAGACTAAAGGGTCTCTCGCTACATTTTTATTTTGTTCTGACTCTTGTTTGGACTGACAAGTCAAAGATCTTTCCATCTTGTCCTTGTACACTTCATCATGCTGTCTGGAAAAAATCTTGCTAATAGGAATTTTTATAGTCATTGTCTTCTTGTATTGTTCTCACATGAAACTGATTCATTCAACTTTAGTACCTTTTGCCCCTCCTGGAATGCACCCATGCCCTCTGAGGGGGCCCACCCCATAGTTTGAGATCCACTGACAATGACAGTCCCTCTCCACTCAAAATTATTTGCTTATTGCTACTTCATTCAGATGTTTGACCTTTCATCTGCCGAAAGAAGGTTTCTCTGTGCTCTGAGTTGAGGCGTGCACATATGAGAGGACTTTCCATCACGACTAGTTTGGAAGTCAATCGTGCTCCAGTATGCAACTCAACTTGGGTGGGGAGACTTGATTCCTCCAGTGTGCATTCATAGAGAATGGGCTTAGTAAAATAGTAAATAAATAATCATAACAATAAATACATCTTGTATCCACTAGATAAACTTTTGAAATGAAAAATATTCATTGAGTGTGGATTTTTCATTGAAGGAGAAGGAGTTGATCTGATTTTAAGTTTTTAATAAGATAAAATAACCTTTTTTGTGGCAAAACCATATAAGATACAAACTGTAATTTAAAGCATAGCATTTTTATATTGGGGTTCTAATTATTATTAAAATTGTAGGCGATAAATTGTCTGTCGCTCAAACTAATCGATTAATCGACTTATTATTTCAGCACCATATTAGTGTATTCACACCAAATTTTTATGCACCATGCAACTCCATCAAGCGTAAAAGTTGGCAGCCATTTTAAATGTGCGACTGCTGGAAAACACATAGCATGATTCAGTCTGTACCTGAATAGCAAAGGATGGGGTTTAGGGGAAGCATCACCTTATCCTTGGAGTGCAGCCGCGCAGCACAAAGGGTAGACTCAGTGCCCCTCTGTGGTATCCCTCAGCCCCTTGTTATGGTTGGTCACTTCAACTCCACCCCTCACACCCCATCCCCTTCCAGACAGGGGTAACAGATAATGCCAGGCTCTTTAGAGAGTCAACTGACTGATGGCATCATGAAAGGTTGGGGGTCAACTGTTCTTATCTGGGCGAGAGCTGTCACCTTTGCAGCAGGTGTGCAGCACAGATACCGACATCCTCAGAGCAGCTTTGTGCCGCTGCGTTGCCATTGCCTGCAAAGAATTCTGGGAGCTTTGCCAAACTCCCAAGCCACAAGAGGCATCACTTTTGCAAGAGCAGTTTTTTTTTTTTTTTTTTTTTTTTGCACACAAGCACAGTTGGAAACACACAAGCATACACACAATGCAACACACCCACACACAAAACAAGCCCTAGTTTCATTTTTTGGTAACTGTTTATAGTGATGGGATCTATCCTTCTGTTTGGGTGAAATTTAATAATACATATAATGTCCTCGCTGCAGCATGCACAGTCGTTTCCGTGCATTAGGCATTTGTGGCACTCAGTGTACTGTCATTGTAGAAAGTGCTTAATGGTGTCACCACTCTTCTTTAACCTCTGCTGCTACGAAGGACTTCCTCTCCTCCATCTGCTCTGGTCGTCTGTTAGTATTGATTGACCACTAACGTCTGTTGTTTGACTTTCAGAGAGAAGGAGAGGCAGGAGAACCCCGAGGCTGTATTTGGCGAGACCTGGTTGTTCTTTGGTTGTCGCCACAGAGACAGAGACTACCTGTTCAGGTAAGCTGTGTTTGTCTTTTCGGTTTGGTGCTTATTCCTAGACTCCACACCACTCATGTATACACATATTCTCTACATACAGCTCTCCACACCCATATCCATCTTCACCTTGTCCCAGTAAATTCCATGTATTATCTGTGACCTTCATAATGTACATCATTTTGTACACATTGTCTGTATACATGATTGTTTTCTTAAGAGTGAAAAGGTAGAAAAATACATGAAGTGTCTTGTTGCATTGGCATGTACATGTGACTCAAGGCAGGAAATTTCTAAGAGGGTTATGTGACTGTTTATTATGGCTTGGTTTTAATAGGCATTTCTTTTATGAATCCTATTCCAATTTGATAAAACATCCAGATTTGGTAAGTGGAAGTTCATGAGGGAATCTCATGAAATCTGCAGTCTTCTTCCTCTTTTTATTTATTATCAAAAAGTAACACTCTCTATGTTTTAGGCAACCATTTAGCTACGGTTATGAATATTGTTATTTTGGATGGTTATAATGGATCAAATGAGTAAGTGTAATGTAAAAGGCGACACTCACAGTGACGAACCTACAGAGGAGTATCACACAACTCAGTTCTGTGGATCATTTGAGAGGCTTTCAGATTATTCTTTTGGTTTTACAACCCACATTGACTGTTTTAGATTCACTCTCACCGCTCTCATCAGTGAAGTTTTTCAGCTGGCAGCTGTTTTAAAAAAAAAAAACCTGGGTGTATGCCGACTGCCCAGCAGCAAACAGCATCCAAATAATAACTTAATATTTTCCTCAGGAGTTGGTGGAGACAAAAACAGGGTAAAAGGAGAGTGAATGTTGGATTTGGATTTGTCAGGTGGTCAGAGACATAACTCCAAATGAATGCTAATGTTGCTCAAATGTTTGTCAGATAAACTACAATACGGGTTGAAGTGTTGTTTTATGTATCAAGTTATTAACTGGCAATATTTGAGGTTTAGCTTTTACATTTTCAGTTACTTATAATGTCTGTTGCTTAAATTTAGATTTTATAAGCAGATATGCTAATTGATTCAGATTCAATAAAATGCTTCTGAACCACAACCCTATATTATATGGAGAGTTTTTGGTTTAGTGCTCAACATCAACACATTGAGTATTTCCATCCAGTACTGGATGGAAATTTTTATTCAACTAAGTTGTACTGAATGTACTACCATACTCATATTGATCTGGTGTTCTTAAGCATTGTAAAATAACATCACCCTGTGCGTTGATCATTTCTCATATCAGTTTGCTTTGGCTTTACTCTCTCCTGACTACATACTAATTGATCGGCTCTTCCCAGTATCAGTAGTGCGCATGTACTTAATGCTGGGGCACTGATGGAGTTCCTTTGCAGGATTAAATTGTGCGAATGGATTAGTATCCTTAATCACACAAGAACAGATCACAGAGGATGTTGTTTGTTCCCCTCTGTGTCCTCTATCCCTTAGTTAAATACCAACTCACAGCCAGGTAGTAGGCGGTGTTTGTTCACAGTGTGGGCTTCTTTGATGAACACCCCCACAGTGTTGACCAAAGCGATTAGTCTGTGTTTTATGAGCCACCCGTGAAGAGTTGTACTCAATTTAAATAGGTTAGCAGAATGAGAACAACATACCTGCAGCTGAATTGGCCTGCCTGCATTCATCTCTGTTGGATTTCTCTAAAAGTAAGTGCAATTTGATGTCACAATTTCCTGGAAATGTAGAAACCTGCTTAGCATAGTTTATAGCACTTTTCAGCGTCCCAGATTTTTAAAGAAAAGTTCAGCTGAAGTCATAAGTAGGAGTTGAAATTTAAAGTTGCATAAATGGCTTTTTATGCTTATAAATATTACAAAATGTCAAGACAGGATGTGCCCAACATCACAATCTTACTATGAATTTTCCACCAGGAAAAACAAACAAAGCTTGCGATGTGCCTCAATCACTCATAGCACTTAACATCCCTGTGAGAGGTTGATGCCAATCTGGCTGCTTGTCACATCAAACTCGTCCTCCCCTCTCCCCTCCCCTGCACTTACCCTTCTCCCCTCCCTCTGATTTCTCAGCCTCTTTATGACATGTGATTTCATGCTGCAGGGGAAAACATGACTGGAAGGCCTGCTGGGTTCACTTTCGGGTCCGGGATATTGCCACAGGCTTTTGTGTGTGTGTGTGTGTGTGTGTGTGTGTGTAAACACACCGAGGAGTCTTCGCCTCTCAGAAAACCTTGTCTGTCTGTTTTTTTTTTTTTTTTTAAGAAGTCACCTGTCCTTTGTCATCCGCCGGTTTCTGCTCACATGGTTATCAATCTATGATGAGTCATGTTGAGATGTCAAACAAAGAAGACTCCACCATCCTTCTCCTTGTCATTCATGTTGTTGCTCTCATGTTCAAACAGATTTTACAATCACACATCTTGTTCAAAAGAACGAGATCCTTTTAATAGCTCTGTCTTCAATCAAAGGTGAGGTATAAATATTACAGGAGAAGCAACATTTCTGGATGTTTCACATAGAAAAAAGATAATAATACTCCTCTCTCACTTTAGTATTCACAACCCAGTGTCCGTATGTTATCAAAAAATGCGTTATTTTAGTCTGGGGGTTGCTGCAAAACACAGACCCCTGAGGCAAAGACCTTCACCCATGATCTTAAAACTGCAACTCGTTGTGAGTGTGTGTTTTTACTCATTCTGACTGCTTAACTTTAAACAAGATACTCTGAGCCACAGTAAACCATACTCCCTCACCGCCTTCCTTCTTCCTTCTCTTCCAATAGCACCCCAGGCCCTGTAAAAACACTGAGGCAGAAGAAGGAGTAGTTGGCAAGTGAACCAACGATAGGGAGCAAGGTTACACCCAACTGCAAGGCTGGGAGGATTGATTATAAAAAGATGCTTATAAAAGTGACTTGACCTTGCTTATGAAACCCATATTTTTTTTGCACTTCTCTCGTTAAGCAAGATAAATTGGTTGCCTGGCACAGTTTTGCTCAGACCTTTTGCCCATCAGTGTTCTGTTTTATCGAGCTTGACAGGTTTTTTTGTTCATAGGAAATGTTCCGGGGGTTATATGTCTTGTGAGACGGTTGAAGCTATTGCTAAATATCTTACGGGAGTGTTGGATTTGGAAGGATAAACAGTCTGTGTGAGAATCGAGTTGAATTCTTGGCCTGCAGTCTGCTACATTTACCTCTTGGTTAATAATTTTTTAAAAGTATAATGAAAATGTGCATGTGTTTTTCACTATTACATGATCTTTTCTCCACATCAGCAACTGAATCTTTCCTCTCCTAATTCTAGGTTTGAAAAGACTCAATTTCACTGATCAGGAGCAACCTGTCCAAGACTGCCGGAAGAACCTTGCAGGAAATTTGATTTACAATGAGCTGAGATGTTTGGATGTGACTCTACATTCCGTCTCCTTTTCCCAGAGAGGAGCTGGAGGGCTTCGTGTCCAGCGGTATCCTGAACCACCTGAAGGTGTGTTTCTCCAGAGGCGACGAGCAGGAGCAGGAGGAGAAGGAGATCACCACCTCAGTAGCTCGACCCAGATACGTCCAACACAACCTGCTGCTTAACAGCCAGTACATCACTGAAATCCTGCTCAGACAGAACGGTTGCCTCTATGTCTGCGGGTGAGACTTACACTCATAACAACAATTCAGTGGTAACTTTTATTTTAACTTTAACTCATCCAGAGTGAAATTTTTATTTTTTTTCCATTTTCCATACATACTGATGTCCACCTGGCATGTTTGTGTCATGTTCTGGCTCCACTCAGGCTTCTTTTAAATTTTTTTGTCAGATCACCTTGTGTCACTGGAACCTGTTACTTAATCTATATAAATGGCTTTAATTTTTCACAATGGACAGAAATATGCTATTTAACTATACATTTCATGTGTGTAATTTTTGAAACCTTTATTTAACCGGGAAATACTTTATCTCTATTACAAAAGGGGCCTGGCCAAAATGGCAGTGTAGGGTACTTAACCGTCACATTTAAAGAATGAATTTACAGCTCATAATTCACATGCACATGGAGTGCTGTTTGTATATCCAAAACCTGATTTAGCTTATTCTTCTATGCCACACAGCTCTAAACTATTAAAAAAACGTCAGTGGGCCACACCGTTGCACTGGGTGACATGTTTCTTATTACAAAAAATATGGGCACAGTAGATTAGAGGCAGCTCCACAGACTAATAACAGCGATCACTTTCACAGTCTCTGGAGAGTAGTTCCTGTAAGCAAGAGGCCAATGTGCATGCATGGAAATGTGGTTCATATCACGACCTTGTAACTTCGGGTTAAGTTCTTTGAGAAATTTGCAGATTGATACAGTGAATATGAATATATGTCTGCTGCACAAGAAGAAATGTGATGGATTTGTAGAACAGAAGAGATGTGCTGAGAGGAAGAGGCTAGCACTAAGTTTATCCCATCGACTGATAGCGAGGCATTGAGCACCCCAAAACAGAGCTACTGGAGACTGGTGGTGCAGATGCAATCTGTGCTCAGCAATGTCAACCGAGGCAGAATGAAGGTGCTGCATTGATTGACTGACAGCATTTCGCAGGATCCGAAGAGGAGAAGTGGATAATCATGTGGTCCGGACATTTTTTTCACAACCAAGGACAGCGCGCACCGTTTTCTATTACTAACTTCATAGGAGTTGAAAAGCCAAAGATAAGAATGGCAAACTGTGTTCCCAAGCGTGCACAGTGGCCTCTGCCTCACATGAGCTCCTTTCCAGAGACTGTAAAAATGATCACCATTATGAGTCTGTGGAGCTGTTTGACAGTGTGGCTCGCTGATGTGTTTTTAATGGTTTTTGGACAACAATGTAGCTCAGTGGCACAGATGAATAAGATAAATCAGATTCTGGATATACACACAATATATTGTTAGTAGCTAGTTCATCGTTGCTTTGGTGTCCTCATGAGATTTGTTGACAACAGTCAAAATATAGAAAGTCAGCAGCTTCACCTTTTTTAAAAAAAAAAAAAAAAAAAAAGTTACATTCATGAAACATGTTTTTGAATGTTGCATTTGAGTACCTGGCATGAAGGCAGTCCTGCCAAATAAAGTTTGTCTTGTTTCCAAGCCCACGGTGCAGAGCTTTGCCAAGTACAAGGCAGACTCTGAAGGCTCTGAAAGATTATCCATCCAGATGATCTGGTCTGATAACTGTTTGAAGCAGGAGAAAGCATTTTACATAAGTAAACAGTGAGATTACCAGGAGTGGGATTGAAAATGAAAAAGTACATCTTGAATATTTATCCATATTTTAAGTAAAGTGAACAGTGAAGGCACATTTGCAATATTATATATATCTGTAAATCTTGTTCTGACTGTTAAAACTAGAATTAAATACTCTTTTAAGGATGTCTCTCAAGTGACATGACCAAGCTGAATTCACCTGTTGGCCAATGAATATCTCTGTTTTGGAGCAAGATACTAAACTCATGAAAAATAAACGATAGCAGTTGAAGTGTCTTGCTTAAGGACAAGCTATTAAGGGAGAAGAGAATCATACTTATGTAACCCTCAAACTTTTTTCTACGTACAATCAGTAGCAACTTTCTGTTCACTCTGCTACTGCTGTCCTCACACTGATGCAACATTTTGTACAGATTGTAGCATTTATAGCGTATTCATACCCTCTTCTGCCCTCTCCAAACACAATACGTTCTTCCTGCCAGTGCAAAGACAGCATGACTAAGGAAAACACAGATAGGGTTAGGGTGCCACGACAAAGTCTTGCTAACATTTATACAGCCCAATATCACATTCTTTGTTTCCCCTCTCTCATCACTCCCAGGCCGCTTACCTCACCTTTGAGTAAATTACTTTTGAAACATCAGAACAGGGTGAATTTTTCTGAGTCAAAAAATATCTCTGTTGGATGATGGATCTCTCCCAATATGCTGCAACAGCGAGATAGAAATTTCAGCAATTTCCTTCTGGGATGAACTCCTGGACTGGCAGCACTTGCTTGTTTTACGAACTATCAGATTGCCACAGACATACAAAGTGCTGTCTCAAAAACATGTATATTAATCGTATTGCCCTTTTTCCTAATATGTTTTTGCCATTTCTTCCTTCCTCAGCGATGCGAAGAACATGGCTAAAGACGTGAATGACACCCTGATAGAGATGATCAAAACGGAGCTTCAAGTGGACCAACTGGAGGCCATGAAGAGACTGGCAGGACTGAGGGAGGAGAAACGCTACTTACAGGACATCTGGGGCTGACAGCGGATGGCCAGATAAGGGCATTTTGCAGCATCCACTGAGCTTTTTTTTTTATAACTTCGTTCTAAAAAAAAAAGAAAAAATCAGCATGCTCAGCTGTAACCTCTACAGCCATAAAATTGTGGATGCTGAAGCCTGGAGGTAGTTTACACCACCCAATGTTACCAAGATGGAATGTATCATGCTAGCCTGGGGACATCAGTTCACTACATCATCCTGGGCTTTGCTATTTGAAAAGAAATAACCTTGATCAGGCCAGTAGTGCTGGAGATTGGTCCTGGAGTATGAAAATGTGTTTTAGTGTAGAAAAGCCGCCTCCTTTCGTCCTGTCTGGGGAAAAGGCATTTACTTCCGTTGGCTGTGATGGAGTGATTTTGATGAGGCTCAGAGCGAGATATCGCTCCAACCTAGATGGAAACAACACAGCAATCTGTCGTTTTTAAACAACACACACACAGTAAATTGTTTATTGTTATTCAAGGACAAAATAAATCATTTTTTTTCTAAGTTATTTTTGTTTTTGGAATGTGCCAAACCATCTCACTGCCAGCTAAATGCAACATGGTTTACCTCTAAAGTCATAATCATTCAATTCTTTATATAAAAGAAAATGTATCTCAATTGCAAAATAAGTTGGTTTGATTGATTTGCTCCAGTATTATCTCATTTCATCATATTTTCTTCCGATATACTGTGGATATTGCTAATTTTTTATCCTTTTTTTGGACATCATTGGACATCATGAAGACAGGTTTTAACGCATAAGGTCCTAAAAAAAAAATGGCTGAGTGACAATTTTATAAATTAAGTCTATGGAGATGAGGACATTTTCAGTAATTTATCATTATACTGTGTTAAGTTCCAAGTACACAGGGCGTGACTCTCAATGATAATGTGCAGCTCTGGCCAGAGCAATTTATCTAACTAACTTTGTTTGTGTCTGTCTGCCCCCACATACCCAGCAGACTGTGTGTTTGGAGACAGTGAACTCCAACTTTTCTAACTCCCGTAAAGCCGACTAAAATCTCACAAACTGTGGTTAAAACAAACACAACTGTGCCTTGTGTGATCAGGAATTAAAAGACATTTCAGTGTAAACTGTGGTTGTCTACAGTTTCTCTTTTATTTGTGCACACACAGGTGTGTTTGTAGATGACCTTACACACATGTATTTGAAGTCTGTGGGTGCAGATGAGCGTGTGGGGGAGAAATGCTGGAAGTTTTCTTGGCATGTTCAAGAGGGAATGGAAATTATCTGAGATAATGAACCCTGATTGATTGGGAGTGATTGTTTTATTTAAATTTAGAGATAATTTGATTGTTCAGGGTGACTTTGGTCAGAAGATGAAAGAGTACTATGCTAATTGAAGGCTTTTCGCAATGGGCTTCTTAGCACAACGCAGAGCCCCAGAGAGCGGCTTCTCGGAATTAAATCTTCTAACAGCAGTCTTTTTATTTATCCTCTTGTAGGGAGGGGAGAGAAAAACATGTTTACAATCTCCACCGCCTGCACCGTAGATGACAACCCATTCGCTACATTTTTTGAGCCGAGTAAACAAAACATTTACTGTCGCAGAAAACAATCCCTGATAGTGAATAATTGGTTTAATACAGTGTTGTCAGAGGTAGAGCTGTCCTTGTGTTTGTCCAGGCGCAGCTGGCTGCACCTCCTCACCCTCATCTCTCACTGTCCTGCTGCTTCACCAAGTCACAGGAGCAGAGGAGGACAAAATCAAAATAATGACGTGCTGTGTGCCTAACAGCACCACCAATCTCATCCCCCACACACATGGTGATGTATAGCTTCCATTCAGTGCAAGACCACAATTTGTTGTTGGACAAATTACAAAAATGTTCATGCATGTTGTAACAAGGAAAGTTTCATCAAATTGACATGTGCGTGATCATTGCTGGAGTAATTTTAGAACTATGACGTACATGTTGAGCTGAACTGCTCTTATTTACCAACCCCATTAACATGCTCTCATCTCCATTTAAAAAATGACCGCAACCAAAAGACAGAGAGCCCGCTGGCTGCTTATGTCACCTTGTCCAGCAACAACCCAAGACTGATGAAGTTTTAAATGATGTCTTTGTAATTAAAAAGGTTCACAGTGGCGATTTTTGTCCTGCAGTGAGAATGAAACACAGAGCTGAGGAGATGGTCAGGAATAAATCAGAGCGCTCAGGGTCAGTGTGACCGCAGAATAGTAGCACCTCCATGATAAATGCCCCTTGTTAAGAATGGCTTAAATGAAGCAGAAAGATGTGTGTTGAAGATAATGACTGTTATTATGGAAGTGTTGAGTAAGCCAAGTGAGAAGATGCACTTTATATCAATGAGCTTGGAAATGCTGGAAAGATCCGCTTAACATTCGGCTCCTTGGTGCAGAAAGTACAAGTAGTGATGATGAGGAGAGTAACTGGAACCTCCCACACTCTGAGCTGTGCAGGGAATGTGCCTTAATTATGCAAGTGACAATGTGTCCAATTCATTTGCCTTAGGTCTGTGAATGTGACTGCAGTTCAAACAACATACGTTTGGTACATGGTACATTTAGGAGTATGCAGCAAGGACAAACCAAGTTTTGTCCCCTATGACAAACTTTGGAGAATTCACTCATGCAAAAAAAAAGAAGTTACGTAGGCTACATGTGTATGTGTATGTTGCTGAGGCAAATACAGGAATGGGGGTTGCATATTTTTCTACGACCACCTTGGCTAATATTTTCAGTTCAACTGCAACATCAAAGTTTCAAGGAATGGTTCAGTTTCCATTAAATTTCTGCATCTTTATCAAGAGTTTCTCAAAGGGTGACAACATCAGTGACGCAGGGCTCGAGACTAACGGCGTCCCGTTGTCCTGGTGACAATAGAAAGTGTATTCCAGACGAACAGAGTTTACTTTATATGAAGGATATATATAATTTTCCACGTACTTATTTTAAACTACTGTTCAGCAAATAAATTGAACCGATCGCCGACTGTAGTGACAGCAGTGGAGCGCGTCTTCTCATGCTGTTACTATAGTTACTATCACTCAGCGTGACACTGGTCCATCTATGGCGTGCAATCAAAGTTTGCTGGCAGGACCTCGCACACGTTTCGCTGTTAAAACAAAGGGACCACCAAGAGACTGAGGTAACTTAAGGATACACTTGGGTAAATTTTTTTATTAGCCATTGAATTGAAACAGTCACCGACTGTTTGGTAACTTTAGGCCTCCATTTTAGCTAATTTCACAGGTGGTACCGTGGCTGTGTGTGAGTATATTAGCTAAAACATAATTTAAGTCAAGTATATCTTTGTGGTCCTTTTTTTTTGTTATCATAGCAAACATAGCTTGCACGCGGACAGTAGTTATTGCAGTTATATCCACAGGCACTGCAGACTGGGTCATAAAAATTAACACTAATTAGTAGCGGACGGTGAAATGATTCATCATTAATGTCACTTTCTCTAAAATGTGAGCAGAGCAGAGCCACGTTCCGCTGCGGCTCTGCTGCTGTCAGGCGAATAAAGCCAGTGATCTGACTCTCAACTAAGCAAACTAACGAAGGGGAATGATGGGGAGTGGGTGATCGGGAGGCATGTGAAGGTTCCAGGTGGGCTGTGCTAGTTGTTGGGCCGCAAGGGTGAGGGTGAGAGAGGGAGGGAAAGCGGAAGAGGGAAAGAAATGGATAGAGCTGTGTGTGGTGATCAGCCCAGCGGAGCAGCCTGCGCGGCCCACTGTTGCTCTGCGTGGCCTTCATCTCCCTCACCTCTGTCTCCAGTTTGGTCCCGCTGCTCAGTACACCTGCATACCATTTATGTGTTTGTTTCTTTATCCAGCTGCTTCCGATAGTTGTACATCTAGAAGCAGAAACTCTGCAGTAAGGGGACAGGAGCAGAGCAGCAGCGTGGGTTCAAGACCACAGCTCCCAGTGAGTTCAGTTTTACACAATAACCAGTAGGCAAGAGGACAACAACTCTGAGCTTATTTAGCAGGATAATGCTCTAGCTGTAGCTATGTGTTCTGCTCATGTTTAATCAGAAATTCTAATATGCTAATTAAAGTATTCAAAGTCTGTGTGATTAGCTCAGATGTACAGAATTTTATCACAGAAAGATCCAATGAAGTGAGAAAAACAGAGAAAGATTTAAATACGTCTGGTCTTATATTTACTGCTGTACTGTCCAGTCTGAATTCTAATCTCTCATGCTCTATAGCTACTAACTTACACAGAGGAAAGTGAGAAAAGAACTACACTTTAATGTGCCAGTTGGTCTATTTCATTTATTGTTCTGCAAATCATCATTAATTAACCCTCTGTTTATTTATTTTCCTTTTTATTAAGTGACTACAAAACAAGCAAAGACAAGTGTAACAATAGTGACAAAGGGTGGACCAAACACGTAAAAGAAAAGGAAAGAAAAATAAGAAGAGAGGGGAAAAAAGGTGTAATAATAATAATTTTCGATAGTATTTTGAATTATTATGAATTTCATTCATTATAAATGAAAAAATAGATAAATAAAAGAATAGATAAAAAAAAAAGACAACACACACACAAATAAACACTGTGTGTGTGTGTGTGTGCGTGCGTGCGTGCATCTGTGTGTGCGCGTGTGCGTGCGTAAAGTGCTTGTAAAGTGTGACACAAGACATATGGTGTTTCCAGGTGGGTGTTGGGGCCCCAAATTTAAAGTCGGGGGACGATTTTTATTCTCTTACAGACACTAATAAAGGTTATCAAGAGCAGAAATGGGACCGCAGCAGGCAGCATACATCTAACTATCTAATCTTCAATAGAGTGTGTGTGTGCTTGTGTGGTAATAACAAAGTTAAGTGAAAACAATCACTTCTGGTTAAAAGTATTTTTCGGAACGGTTCTGGGACAGTGGTGAAAAAAGTTAGTCTGGAGCCCTGTATAGAAGTTTTCATTCAGTTTGAAATCTGTATCACTCTTGAGGAGTCTTCTTGCATTATTAGTGCAGTCAGCAGAAATCGTCATCTTCTTCAAGTTCCTCCAGCTTCCCCTCACCTGTTGTTTTATCATTAAAAAGAACACTACCGCTCTGTCTCTGCTGTTCTCAGGCTGCAGTCCATGACCCAGCAATGTCAACTCAGCTCTTTGATGTGGCACCGATGACAGCTCTGCTAGCACACACACACACACACATACACATACACACACACATACATACATACATACATACATACACAAACACAGAGAGAGAGCCATAGTCTGCCTGTTCTCCCAGAGTCCCAGCTGTGCACAAACACTTTAACTCCGGCATCTGTCAGGAGTGCTGGAGGAAAATCTATGTTTTTCTAAAAAGGCTGCAGCGTTTCTATTGAGTTTCCTGTTTTCACTGTGAGATACCGGTGTTGTTCTGGTCTCTGTTTATTGATGGAGCAGGAGAGATATCCCTGCTTCCTATTTGGCAGAACAAACATTTGCTGTAATTGATGCTGGCAGGAGGAGAAAGTATTCAATAAGAAAGTATTGTTCTCCCTGTGGGTTTAAATGAATATTTCTTTTTTTAGATTCAACTGACCAAGGAGAGCATATTGCAAAAAAAAAAGAATAATTTTCAAATGTATAATTGCAAAAATTAAATGTGACCTGTTTAAGATAAATTCTCCATCCCAGTCAGGTACTGTACGTCCAAATGAATTAAGCTGAAACTGCTTGGCTCATCAAATGTATTAATGATGTTTCAGCGATGGATGCTCTTTCTGTCTCCATTAGTCAAAGAAATGTAAAAATTGGTTGAGCATTTTTAAACTTACAAGGATGGATGAACACTTAGTAGAATTTATAGCCTCCTCACTCCTGACAGCCATAATGACTTATGCAAATTGGAGGTTAAGTGCTGAGATGAGGCTCTTCAGCAAAAAAAACAGAGATGCATGTACAATTATGGATGGATGGATGGAAGATGGAAGAAAAGAAGGATGGGAGGAAAAACTGTGTACACTTGACATTTGTCTTTATTTGTTGTGTGGGATATGCTGAATGTGTGTTACCATGGAGCTTAATCAATATGTCCTACTCTGGAGATCTCTAAAAATACAGATGAAGAAATTAATTTCAAAATGAAACAGATTCTCC